ATTGTTAGTTGTAATTTCCCACTCAACAATATAACTGTTATATAATACACGTGTTATATAACAATTATATTATTGAGTGGGAAATTACAACTAACAATTATATAACTGTAACTTGGTGTTTGCTGGGATATATATTTCTAATTGCTGACAGAAGATTTAAAAGAGTAAAAACACTTTGTTAAAATTCAGTGGTGAAAATCATTTTCTTCGCAATTGCAGAGAATAATTGTTTTATGTTTGGCGCCAGTGTCTGTAGAGTGCGTGCGCTACTGTTGCGTGACTAATAAAAATGCGCTTCTTCTGTTCAGTTAAGACTGTAATCGACAAGAATCCTTCCGCGCGCGCGCGTATTGTCTTTTCACAATAAACTTTATATTAACTACAGAGAATTGATATTGTGTTTCAAGAACCTCTGGCTATAGTACAAAAAGTAATATACATATAGAATGATTAATTGACATCATGTAATTAATTGACATTATGTAAGTTAACATGTTGTTCGGTGTGGCAGCGCCAAGTTTTTTTGTATTTTTTAATAAATATTTTGTTATTTTAATTAAATTTTTTTCAATTCAAATTTTGATCAGTTTTATTGATACATTTTATGAATATTTTATGTATGTTTTTTTTTAATTTGCACCTTGAATAACATATCAGTTACTTTTTCATGTTGGTGATATATTAAAAATTTAGATAATTATTAAAATATAAACATATTGGAGTATCTTTTTTTGGAACTTGGCCAGACCTTATCATTTATGAATTTTTGTGCTTAGATTTATCTAGACAAAGGTTGGCAATGGAAGTGATGGAAACGGCTTTCAAATAGGATCACGACTAGCAATTATAATAATCCTGATTTTGTATCTAATAATCTCTGATATGAGAATGAGAACATTGGCATGTAATTTGACGTATTATCGATTTTATATTTATAAAGTTATAAATATATATTTACACATTTGTTTCATAATTAAATTTACTTCCATAAATAAGATTTATAAAAACAAAAACTTTTCTTAAAATTACAAATTATGTTTATAACTTTATAAAGTAAATCGAAAATTGATTTATAAAGTAAATTTTACAAATAAAGCATCGATTTTCTTATAATGAATTTGTCAGCTATTTATTGAACAACAATTTCAAATATTTTATTTCCATTTCATTATTATATTTTTATGTTTACACATTTCTGTTATATTATATATATACTTTATGTAACTTAAATTTGCTATTATAATTTCTGTAAAAATCACTGAAATATAATGCCTAATTGTCAGTAAAATAAGTTAATTTAAATTTTAAAGTTCAAACATTTATGCATTTGTCACAAGAAAAATAATACAAAATTTGTTATTAATAAATTAGCATTTTAAAACAAACGTGGTATTATTTTTGTATTTAATTCAAAAAGATTCAAGACAGAAGTTCATTATAATATTTGATTATTTAGTATTTCCTTTCTTATCTTTAAGCGAGTCTCCAATATCAAGCATTTTTTAGTAAGATAACAAATAAAAGTTAGGGAACAGTTATCGCTTATTTGAACAAATATTTTTATTGTTGTATTCTTTTATAAATATTAATTACATCTATAAATATAAATAGCATCTTTTAATTTAATACCACATTTATATATCACATTTAAATCGCTATCATTAATTTATTCATTAAAAAACGTTAAAACGGAATAAATATTTATCGCATAAAATCGTAATTATTTATATAGATTGTTTATAAGAATCATTTACAATATAATTACATACAAGTGCAACAAGAATTTACATATACATATATGCTGAAATTCTTGTTGCATCTATATGTTAATAAGTTATTAACTATCAGAATCCCAACTTTTTAAATTTATTTACACAAGTATGCTTCAAGACACAGCGCAAATTATTTAAATTGTCAATGCATTTTGTATGATTTTTTTCTTAGTTATTAAAATTATCTATATTTATTTTATATCAAATCTAACTTGTTGCTTTTAAAATAATATTTTGATTTTCAATTGTTTAAATTTATATGTATCACATTTTATGAAACATTGTCATATTGCTATTATCTTGCATTGAAATTTCTTACATGCAAAATCCAGATTGAGTTTCATGAATCAATTTTGATGCTCTTTCTCAAATATTATTTTATGCATCATTCTTCGTTTCCTTTAAGTCTATGTGTTCATCTGAATTTTCCATAGAATTTTAATTTCTTTGAGCAAACACTTTAAGTACTTCATCTTCAAAATTGAGATCGAATAAAATGTCGAGATCTTTCGTTTTATTCGTAGAATAGTTTTGAAATACACTCTTAGCCAGTTCCCATAATGAAAGATTGTGTTTTAGCGCGTGAACCAGAGACTGAGTTGATGGAAATAGTAACGAAAGATTACTGAAAGAGGGAGAAATGTAAATGTGAAAAATATATCCATATAAATAAATTGTTAAATATACTCACGTAAAAACAGGAATGACTATATCTGTAATGAACTTTATTTGAATATCGAAAATGAACGCACGTTTTCTGTCCATCATTTCGATAGGTGCATTACCCATGCTTTTTTCTAGATCTCCTTGCGAAAAGAATTCATCATATATTTGCCTCTACATACAGAAAATTGAAATTTATTTATGATTATTAATGAATGTACAGATTGAACACTATAGAGACTTACCGCTGTTTTCTTTGAAACTTTCCAATCTTTGGTTTGATCGCTAAGATCGCAACAAGTCATAAGCATCGCAAATAACAGCTTCTGTTGGTTTGAATCATCTTTATTATACTTGTGCCGAATCATTTCTTTTAGCTTCGTTACGCTATCCAAATGAGAGACCAAGTCAGTTGCAAGTATATTGCTTTTTAACAAATCCAAGGCTTCATCGCGCTCATTGCTATTCAAACTTTCAAATATATTGCAGCTTTTGATGTTTAAAATGCACATTGTTTGTGCAAAATGATGCCTCTATTAAAGAAACAGACATATTTTCAATTGAAACTAAATATTTATTTTAATTATAGTACACTCTATAAAATAACGACAACCGGCTTTACCTCCATAACAGAACCCTCTGAACTGTAAAGACTCGCTAATGCAGTGCCACTCTTGATTTGAAATGAGTTATTAGTTCCCCTGTGGTCTATATCGTGACACAAACATGACACAAAGAGCACCAGAGCCTGTAAAGGTGTCATATAATTCTCTTCAACGAGCTGCACATTCTTTATCAACAAATATGCAAAATGTGTTACGGAGAATGCATGTGTCCAGTTATGGTAAGATGCGTCTCTGTAATTTTTCTTGACATATAATATAAACCTAAAAAATGTTGCACTAATTATTATACAATAAAAGTGAAATAAACACGTTACTTTGTATATCAGTACCTCGCAAGTGTTGACTTTTCTATTCGCCAATGATTAAGAAAGTTCAAGTCTGTGAACATCTTAATGATATAACAAGGCATATGCTCGTACGGCACATTCTTTGGGCTAAAATGAAATTCGTCGAAATCTTTAATATTGTGGTCATCCTTACAATTTAACAATTCTTGCACATCAGATTCTTCCACCTAGAAATATATTTCTTACTAAACACATATACTAATCACCCTGCAATTATAAAACACATTATTCAAGAGACATTTACCTTCATGTGATACATCATTATCTCGTTACTGAGTTCATTTCGAGCTTCAGCGTCCTGCATCTTTTTATTATACATTATTGATGTACCACAATAAATGCTAAATGCAGTCGCAATCTGTTCATCAAAGGCATCAAAAGATGATGCGTTTATTTTATTGCAAAGTTGACCCACTCCTAAATATGAAAATTTTATAGTGTTACACTTTTGTACAACTCTTCATTACAATTTATTTCAATTGCAATAATTTTGCAAGTAGATTATTATATGTTTCAATTTACCGACAACGCCGTTGTCGCCCCATATTGGAAAGCATAAAATATTTTTAGTCTTAAACCCTGTTACATCATCAATCCCACGATAAAAAAAAAAATTATTATATGCGTCTTGAACATTCAGTAATTTGCCCGTAGTCGCAACGTAACCAGCTACACCTTGCTTAATAGATATTCTTATTTCATTTGGGTTCTGAAAATATTTAGAAAAGACATTGAGTTGATTGTAGAATATAGATGTCTTTAATCTTATGTGTGAAATTATCCAAAATTACTTACGTCTTTTGTAGAAATATCGTTCAATACTTTTGCAACCAAAGTTTGTCGAGCAGGATCCAGAAGAAATAAGGAGCATTTTTCTGCATTGATTAATTTCTTTGCTTCTGCCATGATCTCACATAAGTGATCAGAAAGATCTCCTAGATTTAAAAGATTTGAAAGATGAATAAAAGATATACAAGTTAAATAGTATAAAAAATGAATTATTATACCTAAATGTGTAAAAAGCTTTTTAGAAATAGTTAATAAATTTTGGCACTGTTGTTTCATACGACTTTTGTTACAGCAACATAATGAGCAATGAAAATTGAGCAAATACCCAATGCAAAATCTACAAGATTTCATTCAAAATGTGTTAAACATTAAAATATTTCTATTTAACAACAATTGTGCTGTACGACAATTCTTTTATACAATACCTAAAGCATTCTTGAACTATTTCTGTACAAGCATGCCTAGCTTTATCTTCTTCCTTATAATCTACCAGGCACACAAGAAAAGCTGTATAATGTTTAAAAGGATGCTGTATTGGAATTATTAAGAGGGATTTTGATGTAACATCAGTTATTCTATTGATATATCTCAATAACTTTTCGTCAAGTTTCGCAACACTCAAGATCAATGACGTTTTAGTTATCACAGCCTCATACAAAACATTATTTGATATCTGCAAAACAAGTTTTAATCCTTTATATTCACAAAAAAAATGTATTATATTATTTTTATACTAATAGATATAACACAGATGAGTTGTCTTAATGTTACAAATATTAATTGGGAATTAGATATTTCTATCTATTAAGATATCAAGAACACAAATTTAATAGAGTGACGTTTATCCTACTAATATCATTATCAAAATTACAAAGAAAAATCTAATCTACAATTTTACCATAAATGGTTATAAGGAAGTAGTTTAGAGTGTTCCATAAAGAACTCACATCTGCTGATAATAATGAAGTGTTAAACTTGTTGATAATAAGATTTGTAACTAATGTAATGCATTACCAAATTCTATGAATAATGGAAGAACAAATCTTTTCTTTGCCATTACTGACTCTTTCTCTATGATTGCTCAAAATTATTTTAACGACTAATATTTTTTTATTTTACAGAAATTTTTAAAAAATTCAAGACTTACAGGAAATCTTAATTCTGTGTCTAAAATTGTTTCACCTATTACATGAATAACCATTTCTTTGGAATTTACCAGCATTGATATGAGAAAGACTAGTTTTGCATTTGTCGCATTCTGCACCTGAAACAAAATTAAATTAAAATAGAAAATAAAATTCAAAAGGAGCGTAAAGAGCCACAATGCCACAAAAAATTATTTATAAACGTTTTTGCCTGACATCAGGCCTTCCTCAGTGTACAATATTGACGAAAGAATGACATTTCATTAACATCTCAACTTTTAACTGATTTAGTTCAAGTTATTCACTCTTCCATCTCGTTCCTTCTGGATAGATGAGTTTACTTGCAACATGTATTTTTCACAATTTTAACAATTCTTTTTAATGAACCGAACAACATTTCTGCGAAATAGATTTGAAATATATCATCCACATCTTTTTATCTTTATAATCACTGCGTGCGATTCTTTCGTCAATATTATACACTGACGAAGGCCTGATGTCAGGCAAAAACGTTTGTAAATAATTTTAAACGAGAATACAGTAACCTTCGCACGAAGAACCTGTATTGTGGCTCTTTACGCTTCTTTTAAATTTTATTCATTCTGTTAATCATTGGAGCCTTTCACATTAATTATTTTAAAATAGAAAACTTGCAAAAAATATAAGAATAATTCGTAATCACTAAATCAATGGTTTATCACGATCATAAACAATGAAAAAAATAAATCAGCTGACATCCTTTGCAGCAGATTTAGCAGACGACTAAAATTATTCGTAATATCGAGTTACTATTGGTCAACCAGCAGGACTCACACTGTGCCGAACATTCGAAAAAACTGCACAAATATTCACGATTACGACCAAGAATGACGCAATCGTATACCGCAATTATACGTACGTATTTATTCAGCCGCCGTTGCACTTCCGTATATGACAGATCGCACAATTCCTCGATCAACGAGAGGATCCTTTGCGGATCAGAAACCAAGTTGGAGGAACTCATTTCAGAAAATCGTGGCGAGGATTCTTCTATAGAAATTTTCTCGCGTAATTATTTCAAAAAAGAAGAGCGGACGACGGGTGCGTCGATATTGTAGAATAATTCATCGGCGACATCGATTATCTCGCCATGATCCTCAATAAATATTAATATTGCGCTTGATAAACTTTACTTTGCGGCAAACTTGATTATAGCCGGTCGAGAGTGTATCCTCTACTGAAACTACATTGACATCGGCGTTGTGCATAACATCGCAAAGTTTTCGCATGTTTATTGATAAACAAGAATCGCGCGCGACCACGGGGGTGACACTCCGTGGCCAGGTCAGTGTTGCTAGACGGGACGCTTTTTTCACGAACGCACTTGAGAATCGGCCTCAACGGTGTACTAATTGAGGAAAAAAAAGAGCACTTGTAGACCCTTCTATTAAAAAATTATTAGAAAATTTTGTTTATCGTTAAAAAGTGATAAAAAGTAATAAAATAATAATAAATTAAACGCATGTAAATATTATGTTTATTTTATAATAATAAAATAATTAATAATATTAATAAAAAATAAGCTAAAAAAGGAAAGGATGTTTAAATAATTGTTAATAACATTTTAATAACAATAAAATATTTTATTTGGCAGAATTATTTTCCCGCTTTGCAAGAACTTCTTTAATAATATTGGTGCACTTTGATCGAGCC